ACAGAGAGTTCAAGCTGTGTGCCATGAACTGTGTAAATAATGTAAATAAAGTTATCTGTAAAAGGAAGTTATCAATAGCACCTTTATATTTAAAAGTATACAAAAGTAATGCGAAAGTAATGTCATTACTTTTAAAAGTAATTTGTAATGGTAATTAATTACTTTCTGGCTGTGGTAATTTGTAATGTAATTTAATTACATTTCAGCAATTTTCAGCAAAGTAATTAGTAATGTAATTTAATTACAAAATATGAGTAATTTGGCCAGCTCTGGACGACAGTGCGATTCCGGAAAGTCTTTTCCGAAGGCCGCTGACCACAATTTTTTGTCTGGAGACTTTCCCTCTTTCTTCCTTTGACGTGGATCAAGCTTTGCCGACAGCCTCAGTTGTGACCTCTCTTTTCAAATGTACGTTTGCAGTGTGTGAGCTCCTCAGCCTCGGACTTGTCACTTGTGCACCCAGTAGTTCTTTCACTTGGCAATTATATGCCATCAGTTGGGGTTTAATTTCTATTATTTATGTATACATTATGAAGACGTCCGTGAGCTCCGAACGAGTGTTTTGTGCACATTACTTTTGCAAACACAAAAAGACTATACCAAAGCAGCGGAATTTTCGAAGTGTTGGCGAGTTGGACCTAAACTCGTTGAAGCAAATTCTTCCGCCTGACTGTTCCACCAAAGTGAGTGCGACGGACTACCTGTGCTACCATTGCTTCATGCACATCACTAAGGAGATCTCGATGCGAAGCTCAGAGCAGTGCCCTGACATATTTGTGCCAGCTGAAGAAGCAATTGAAGATCTAAATCGCAGCATACTACCTACAGATGTGTCGCCGCTGAGACAACCAAGCGTCGTAAGAAGTCGGGACAGGCCTGCCTATGTCAAGAGAAAGCAGACAGAACTGGAGCAGGTTGCTGTCAAGAATATACGCTCAAGGCTACGTATTGCGTACGACAGGGACGCACCATCGGGGTCGTCCGAACCAACATGCTCCACATGCACTGAGTGGGTGGACAACTTTCGGCAGGCCTTTGAAACCGCGACCTCTCTCCGGGAACGTTGTCAACTGCTTACACTCCTGCCGTCAACACTGACGAAGAATGAGGTTCAAAAGATGATTCCACAGGCCTCAATGTACCTCATCAGTAAATCCCGAAAACTCAAGGAAAAGCATGGCGTGTGGTATGAGCCGGATCCTTACACGAGGTGCAAGGTGAGCCCTGAGAACCTGTCTGCTGCCCTAGAGTACTTCACTAAAGGCGAGCTACAATGTTCGCGCCAAAGTCCCAACCAGAAGGACGTCATCTCTGTCATGCTCAACGGAGAGAAAACGTTCGTGCCAAAGCGCTTCATGACACGCTCAATACGAGAGGCCTTCCGTATATACAAAGACAAGCATCCCGATTCCGGCGTTGGGCTAACGAAATTTTATTCGTTGCGCCCTAGATGGGTCCAATCTATTCCACACCAGAAAGTGTGCGTTTGTGTGCGCTGCGCCAATTATTATCTTTGTATTGCCGCTCTAGAGAACGTTACAGGCTCAACATTCAACACTGGTGAAATGAACTCGGCATTTCTGTGCGACCCAGCAACAGAACTGTGCCTTCAAGGAGACTGTGATCACTGCCCAAAAGGCCAGTTTCTTACACTCCAGGAACTTGATATCCCGTAGGATGAAGAGATTGTGCTTGCAACATGGGAGTCCGGCGACCTTGTGAAAAAAAGTTTGGAACCTGAGACTTTCCTAAAAGTCATCCAAGTGACGGTTGGAAGTTGGGTACTTCACAACCATATCCGGCAAACGCAAGGTAAAGCGATCTACGATGAAAAACAGTGCATGCAACGCGGGAGCATTGTCTTTCATTTTGACTTTGCTGAAAACTGGACCATCGTGCTTCCTGACGAATTGCAAGCATATCACTGGAAAAAAAAAACAAGTTTCGATATTTACATGTGTAGTGACGACAAGAAAATCTACAAACAGCTTTGCCATCATCAGTGAGGACCTGTGTCACGACGCCGCTCACGCTTGCTTGGCTCTAGAAAAAGTGAAGTAGTGGGTTGAAGACAACGTTGCGGTATACTCGTACGTGACGTACGTAAGTGACGGCGCCGCCAGTCATTTCAAGAATCGCTACCAGCTTCACCAACTTGCAAAGGACGATTGCCCACAAGCCCAGTGGTTATTTTCTGCATCTGGACATGGGAAAAATGCATGTGACGGAGTTGGCGGACTCGTGAAGCACCAGGCCACGCTGAACAACCTGAGAGAACGTTCAGTAAGCGCAATTCAGACGGCCAGGACAATGGTGAGCGTTCTATCAAAGAAACTGAAAGGCGTGCATGTTGTATATCTGGACGAAAAGGAGGTTGTTCGGTATCGTGAACAAAAAAAAGAAGAGTGGCTGACGGTGCGCGCCTTCCCTGGCATTCAGTCTTGGCACGCGTGGCGGCTCAGCAAGTCATCAACAGAAGGGACCTGTGACGTATATGTAGCACGGACAGTCGGATCTGCTTGGAAGCAACTTTATTAAATGGGTACAGCGAGGAAAACCTTAGCGTAAAGTGCCGAATTTGATTTCCCAAGGACTGCTCGTTTTGAATGCAGGGACATCTTATTTATCACATTTTTCTTCACGGGGTATTTAACCTACTGTTTTTGTTGGTGGTTATTAATAATTTTTATCTGATCACTATAAAAAAAATCCCAAAATGTTATCCTCGAGCAGGATAAAATATATCGGCTTGCCACGATTCATTCATACACCGAGAGCATCGAAGCTGCTCCAGTTAGGCACTATGGCATCCGTCACCTGAAATTGTTTGTAATCGTAAATACACAGCCAACCTAAATATCTTACTATTATATCTTTGGTTTTGTGTGTGGAAGTAAAGTTATTTATTTTACTCTAGATATAAAATATACCGGAAGGTACAACTTCACACTGCATCATCTTTTCTCAAATCGTTAGTCTCTAATATGATACCACTTTGTACGCTTATGTAAAATGCTGTATATAGTTTCTCCTCCCTTTTACTGTGTGACCGATTGCTCTTTTTATCAATGACCTCATCTGAATAAATGTATATAAATTATTTGTGCAAGTTTCATGAAACTGGAACTCAGAGTCACTTCTTGTATAGGACACTGCTAAGTGTAGGCTTTGAAAAAGGACCCTACTTTGGGGAGTTGTTTCTTCTTTCACAGTGCAATGATGCAACATGTTTTTAATAGAAATGAATGCCGAAATAGAGTATAACAGGGTACCCAAATTAAAAAAAAATCGAAGGTGGTGTTTTTTTTTTATTTGCATTGGAATTTTTCTTTGTTTGATTTTTTTCCCATGTTTGCCTAAATATATTGTAACTATTGTGTCACTCAGATACCTTATTTATTTTTTCAATAATAGCCATATATTAGTAAAATAATGTCTGCAAGTTATGTAATAATGATTAAATTATTTCATGAGATACAGATTTCCAAAGTTTGCCATTTGTCGTTCGAGCAGGCATGTTTGGCAATTTTTAGAAAACTAAATAAATTTTTAATAAATATTATTACTTTATATTACAAGCAAGTTGTACCCATAGTTTGTTTGTAAAAAGTTTTAAAATTCTCCTAATTTTATTGTTTTAATTATTCACTTTCAAACTTGCCCCCTCCATCAGTGCGCGTTATTGCAACTGTCCACCTCTCCCTGCCTTACGATTTTTCTTGTCTCCAAATTTTTTTTTTTTTTGGTCAAAACTAAGTGTGGATTTGTTTATACCAGACACTAGACAATGTCATATAAAAACATCAGTTGATTTAAAAATGTCGACCAGCCACCCTTTGGTTGATCTTATCTGAAATCACCCGGTTACGCTCTTTTCAAATAACGAAATAACACAGGGCAGAAGCATAGTTAGAATCAAGCATAGCTTAGCAAGCACACGGTACACGACAAAGTTTGAAACAGCAGCCCACTTCGCAGAAACAAAAGAAAGTTGCTTACCGGCGTTTGCACGAGTCGTGCATGGGCGGTTCTGAACTTACGGGCGTTGGCAAGACGCAGCGTCTCCCAGCTCTCAGTCATCGATTGTTATTCTTGAACACGGTATTCGTAAGGAAGATATCTAAAATATCCACTAAAACGGCTAAAACGTAAAAAAAAAAAAAAAGATTTCCGAAACCTCTGGAATTTCAACGACCATTCAACCGAGCCCAACGGAAGCTGATTGCAATAGCGATTGCCTTGCGCAGTCTTCAAGAGTCTCTTTTCCTTTTTATTTATTGTTATTTTTTTTAGAACGATACTAAGCAAATTATTTTTGTATTAGTAACAATAAGATGGTCATTAGAATAATAATGTAAAAGATTACAAAAAGTGAGTAAATCTTAGGTTTTATTTAAACTTTAGGTTGTTTCTTTTTTGTGTAAACCGAAACCGAAACTAACTTGAGCAACGTTTCGGGAACATGCTCCTCGGGAATACTTTTTCTTTAATATTGGGGTTAGGGGGCTGAAATTTGCACAGCTAGTAGAAATTGAGCTCCTCTTTTCATTTATGTAATTTGTTTGGTGATAGCTGCTCTAGTTCAATATCTGTGCTGCATGATATGCATAAAAAGCACCCGTCTTGTGCACAACTTTTTCACACTAATTATAAAGATAGGGCAACCTAAATAGCCAGGGTGGTTCCCCAATAACTACAGACTGTGAGTATCTATTTGAATCAGCAATACCTAAAATATTTTTTGATATAAAAATAAAAACTTTTTGTGTCAGTATTTTGAAAATTTCACTTTTTGTTTAGTATTTTCTAAAAAAAAGAGGTAGTACTTATCTTGTAACTAACAAGGTTTGCACACTCTGTGCACTCTCAGAAGTAGCTGTGTAAAATTTCATTGCGATTTGACAAATACAAGGGGAAAAAATTGTGTGTACAAACTCCGGAAACAGGCAAAAACACCTATTTGAGAAAAAAGCATTTCAAAGTTTATTTTTATGCCAGATACCAAATGTGACAATCAAACCACATGAAACTTCAAGATGATATAGTCCCAAATGTCTATTTCTAGACCCCCAGACTAAAACTCTCCTGCCTAATAGGTAGAGCCCTCACGGTCTTTGCGGTTAGAGTCCTCCGCACGGGCACGCTTCAGCTGACGGCGTCGATGAGACCTGGCCTCAGCGGTCAGCTTTGCAGACATGCTGGTTATCCTCTTCTGGTCAGCCGCACTGCTCAGATGGACCAGCTGCTTGGAAGGGAGGACTCCCAGCTCTTCCAGAACTTGCTCGAAGCTGGAGTGGCCCCGATTGAACCATAGCACAGCAATGGCAGTGGCGGTCTCCACCGCAGTCCGTGCAGCAAAGCGGGTCTTGGGGCACAACATCCAAATCTTGCTGTTCAAAGACTCCGCAGCATTTTGTGTCTTCACCCGCAGACAGCGAGCAAGGAGCTTGATGTCCGTCAATCGTTTGTAGATGGGAAGCACTGCCTTCCCTTGTGCTTTGGTGAGGAGGGGTGTGTGGGCCGGAGCCGGTGCTTGTAGAGCTAGTGCCCGCTTATGCTTGCACCAGGACTCCTCCCCGTCAGGGCAGAACTTGTGGCTGCTGGCTCCGTCAGTCGAGCATGAGTGAAAATACGATGCCCAGATTGAACAGTACATGCCTCGCACACTCCCTCGGTTGCTGGTGATGGCAATTTGGTAGTACCGCTGCAGTTGTTGAATGGTCTTGTCGCCAAGCTTCTCCTCACGTGGTAGAGGAGTCTTTAGTTTCCTCAGTGCTGTTCCAAGACGTTTGGCGACATGATTCGTGCAGTCTTCCTTCGTCACCGCGGTGGACCCATACACATCTGCTTCCGACACTGCCGCATACGCCTTGCTGTCCCCGTCGCTGAGGAATGTCGTAAACTGCATCTTTGTGTTGTCTGCCTCTGTCCTACGCCAGATGCGTAGAGCTGCTTCAATTTCCATTGCATGTGACGAGCAGTTTACGTTCTTCTCGCACACCGGAGAATGAAATGCCTGCCACACTTCTTCCTCTTGCTCGTCGAGGATCTGGTGCCTGTTGCAGCCGTGGCAGTAGTTAGACAGCACCTCGAAATCCAGGCAGAGGCCTGTGTCCACAGAAATGGCAGTGCCAACTCCATTGTGGCTCTTATGTCCCCGTTTCTGCCACGTCCCGTCAAACATCACGGCGATGTCGCTCTGACCCGCTTCAGACGCAGATGCTCGCCTCGCTTCTGCAAGGTTGTCGGAAACGGCTTTGGTGGCAGCGACGTGGACTTTTTTCGAGATGTTGGAGAACGTCTTATGATGAAGCGGTTTCGGGAGACCAAGGATGCCGCAAAATCTAACCAGCTGGTCGTGACCGATGCCAATCGCGCGCGCTGCGAGCACTTTCACGTTGAGCGCAAAGCTGTCGCGGGCGCTTCCACGGCTCTGTTCCGGGTCGCTCATTTCACAACCAGCGGCGGTCGCACGCTGCGATGTATACGCAGCCGAAAGAACTTCGGAAGGCCACGCAACGTTTGTACACTTGAGCTCCAGCAAAGATGCAAGACCCTTGCGTTTGTTCTCAACTTCCACAACGGCGAGTTCGCACTTCCCACATGTCCCGCACGTCGCGCCGCTCACAAGTTGCGTCAGAGTTTCACTTTCGCAGATAACGGCGTTTCCGCCGCTTTCCTTGTCAACGGTTTTATTATCGCAAAATGTCATCAGCTTCTTTTCCGAAGCACTCACGGAGTCCAACACGTCGCTGATGTGTTCCGATGCGCTCCGTTGCCCGGCACGCGCTTCGCTCGAAGAGCTCGTAGGCGCGTCGCCATTCTGCTGGAGTGGTAGGTCCACGGGGGGAGGCACTCACGTGATCGAATGACGTTTTAGCGAACGCCCACGTTTCACCGAATGACACTTTAGCGCGAATAGTCGGACGCCGCGAAGCGGCCTTTTCGGGTGGGCCAAGTGGATTCCCATTTTTGTAATGAGCTGCCGCAGACTGTCGCCGCGAAGCGGCGTATAAAGCGCAGCGCGGCAGATGGGTTAACGCGCGCCCCCGTTATTCGCTAAAACGACCATTCGCTCAAATGTCGCTGTTCGCTAAAATGTCATTCGCTCATGTGATATGAACCCGTCCACGGGTGGGTCCGTCGCATTCCTCGCACTTTTGCGCGTTTGCATGCGCCTTCCCTTGAACGGCCGCAGTGACCGGCTCTTCCGGAGTCGAAAGTTGCGTTTCTCGACGCCATTCATCATGAGAAACTCTCGATAGGCGAACAGAAAACGTAGTTCTCCTTTCAGACAATGTGCGACGTAAAGCGAGCGGAAAAGATGCGCTGTCTTCACAGCATGGTCTGTCAGCGCGTTAGCCAATAGGAGTGCCGCATTTACGTCACGTGGTTTTAAAGCGCTACCTAGGGCCTCATCGGGACGCGAGGAAATGTTTTATTATTTTTATTTCTACTTCAAGTACAAAACTGTGGAAGGAGTCAACGGAAAGAAGGAGGCTGACTCCTCCTCGTCGAAGCGACGGCAACAATGGCCAACGCGGACGTTAGGAGGGACGCGAGCTCGAAAATGACGAACTTCCCGATTTTCGTGAGTCGCGGTAAGGCGTTCAAGTTCGCTTTTTTGTAACTTCTAGGCCGAATTTTTCAGCAGTTCTTTTTTTATATGAAACTAGAAGACATACAGATGGCAAAAACATTAAAAAACAAAAATCGAAAATTTGAGCCAAAACGTCTATTTCTCGACCCGCATCTCCCCTTCGTAGTAATTGTTTGCGTGTGTGTGCGTGTATGGGCGCGTGCGTGTTTGTGCGCGCACGAGTGGATGCGTCCGCGTGCATGCCTGTGTGCGTCTCTGGTTGTGCGTGCGTGTGCGTCTGCGCGCGGGCGTGGGTTTGCGCGTGTGCATGCGTGTGTACGTGCGTGCGCGCGTGTATGTGTGCGACTGCGAGCGCGCGTCTGTTCGTGCGTTCTATTGCACTGCGCCGGCAAGAAGAACAATTGGATGTCCCTGGACACTGTTAAAACACTAACTTATTGATTATTGTTATGAATATTATTATTATTATTATTATTATGTTGGTTGTGTTGGTTGTGTGTTCGTCGTCGCCGTGCCTGTGATACTTTTGTCAATTAAACTGCTGGGTCTGATCCTACAAGCCCCTGATGGCTTTGATCGGGCCCGAAACTGATCTTGGTACTGGGCAATTTGAGAATAAAGATTTATTATTATTATTATTATTATTATTCATGCATCTATTATTGTGCTAACCGAGACCTGGCTCTGTTCGAATATTTCTTCATCTGATCTCTTCCCACCAAATTTCACAGTATTTCGACGCGATCGCACATTCTCTACATTGAAAAAGACAGGGGGTGGGGTGCTGATAGCAATTGATACGTCGTTACAATGCGTTAGGCGTCCAGATCTCGAGACATCATTTGAGTCAGTGTGGGTAGAGCTACAATGCGCTAATGGCGAGCGTATCCTTCTCGGCTCTTATTACTTGCCCCCTGATACCTCTCCTGATGATTTTAGCCAATGTCTACTAGGCATTGAGCGCACAACCAACGCCCTTGAAAAATTTAAATTTATGGTTCTTGGCGATTTTAATGTCCCCAACATATGTTGGGAAACAGCCTCTGCGTCCTCAAAACATTACTATATTATTCAAAAATCTCATCTTTTGCTTAATTTCGCATCATTTACGAACTTAAGACAATATAACTGTATCCCGAACACCCAGGGCAACATGCTTGATCTTTGCTTCTCGGATCTTGACTGCATAGATGTAACTGAGGGCGCGTCAGGCTTGGTTCCCCCCGACGGATATCACCCCCCTTTGGAGATTAGTATACCTGTCCGACAGGGCATGAGACGTTGTTCACGGAAACATCCTGAAGGGAATAGACACAATTTTTGCGCTGGAGATTATGTTAGTTTGTACGATCATTTCTCCAATTACGACTGGTCCTCAGTTATCCTGTGTTCTGACGTTGATCAACAGGTTCGCGATTTCACTCGAATCGTCCGAGAAGGAATGGATCAATTCATCCCGCTTCGTAAAACATCAGGCTCAAAGTTTCCCTTCTGGTTCTCGCACGAATTACGTACTTTAATGAATAAGAAATTGCGCGCTCATCGAAAGTTTAAAAAGAACGATACCCCCGAATTAAAATCAGAATTTGGGCACTTTAGGTCTCTCTGCAAGGAAGTTTTTAAACGTGATCGTCAGGCGTACACTGATTCCGTCGAGTTGCAGCTAACTAAAAATCCCAAAGAATTCTGGAAGTATGTTCGCTCTCGGTCCCAGAAAAAAGGTAGAGGAGAGATCACCCTGCTGGACTCACAGGGAAACTCGACGACAGATGTTTGTGAAATTTTTGCACGCCACTTCCAGTCTGTTTTTAAGCATCATCCAATCCCTTCAACTACTGCCGCGCCAGCTGTCTCTGGGAATGCATCCTGTATTGCACTCTTTGACGAGGAGCTACTGCATGAGTGTGTAAAAAAAATGAAACCATCATTGTCTTCTGGCCATGATGGTATTCCGTCAGTCCTCTTGAAGGCATACAGTGCCATATTTATTCCTGTTCTAGTACAGATTTTTAACAACTGCCTAAAGAATGAGGTCTTTCCCGCCATGTGGAAAACGGCACTTGTTGTACCTGTGCATAAGTCCGGTCCAAAAACAAATGTGTCGAACTACAGACCTATATCTCTTCTTTGCACATTTTCGAAGCTCCTCGAAGTGGCACTACACAAAATATTGTCATTCAATCTCAAGCGTTATCTTATCCCTAACCAACATGGATTTATGGCGGGTCGCTCGACCACAACTAATCTCGCCTGTTTTATGTCAACCGCTGCTCACGCCGTCGCTAACAGAGGCCAGCTTGATGTGATTTACTTTGACTTGAGTAAAGCGTTTGACATTGTTAATCATGAAATGTTACTGGCTAAACTGTCAAAGCTAGATATTCACAACTCATTGCTTTCATTGCTCGAAAGTTATTTGCGTGACCGGAAGTGCTTTGTTAGCTCGAATAATAATTTTTCTGCTACTTATGAGGCGACAACGGGTGTGCCTCAGGGCTCCGTTCTCGGACCTCTTCTGTTTTCAGTTTTTGTTAATGATGTTTCGACTGTGATTCGTCACTCTTCATTTCTTCAGTACGCAGATGATATTAAGATGTTTATGGAGGTACGAGAAGACCGAGACTGTGTTTTGCTACAGAGAGATGTTGATGCTTTTGAAGAATGGTGCCGGGGGAATGACCTAAAGATAAATAGCTCTAAAACGAAAGTCGTGTCGTACACTCGTAAGACACATAACATTGTATTCCCATATGTTATTCAGACAGACCTTTTGGAACGTATGAACAGAATCAAAGATCTTGGCGTAGTGTTTGACAGCACCTTAATCTTCTCCAGTCATGTGGATCACATCGTGAACGCAGCTCTACGTACGCTCGGTAGTGCGTGCCGCATCACTAAAGAGTTTATTAACCCCTGCACATTTCTTATACTCTACAGTGCATTGTGTCGACCACAGCTTGAATACGCTTCTGTTGTATGGAATGGAATTTGTGCCACAAATTCCTTGAAAATAGAACGGGTTCAGAACAAGTTTCTTTCCATCTATAGACATCGTTGCTCAGCGCGCATTGTACCCACCACTACTGATGTCCCTGTCCCTGTTCAGCGTAGCGTGGCACTACCTACCCTGCTTCGTAGGAGAGAACTTGCCGATATCTTATTTTTATACAAACTTGTCCACGCCGTCACTGATTGCACGGTATTGACGTCAAGAGTACTCTTAAAAATTCCTCTAAAAACAACAAGGCAAAATGCGTCCTTCTGCAACAGGCGTCTACTCAACCTCCACGATCCTGTGTCCAGACTTGGGCATACTTATAATTCTTCTTTTTCTGAAACACTCGACATATTTAACAATAACACGCTGCAGTTTGTAAAAACGTTAAAGG